CATGAAGTTTTAAGATCTTTATAAATATGTTTGCTTTTCTGTATTTAAAGTCAAATTCTGTGGAAATTTGTGAAGAAATATCCTTTCCTTCTTTTTCAGAAAAATGCTGATGTCAGCATTTTTGTTGAGATTCAAGACTAATTATCTCGAAAAAATACCTGGCTACCCCAGTTTTTCTTTGTGGATTCCAATAGCCCTTGCAAAGTTCTACTTTTTCCGCGTGGTCCTAACCTGGCGCAAAAACCTTTGTATTTAGGAGGCACCGTCCTTAACTACATCACACTGTCGATCCCTGTGTGACGCAGACATACGAACGTCCAAAAAAGTTAGATATCACTCTGTGGGACAGAGAGCTTATTTCCGTGAGCCAAGGTTTTATCGAACCTAGTGGCCCATCAGGCCGACTAAGAGTATTTCTACCCGCACCACCACCACCACCACTACCACCCTCAGCATTACATCGGCGGGTACCCATTTGTACACCATACAAGCTCGAAAAATAATGCGACTTAGAAGCAGATAAAACGTGACAAAAGGGCACAGTCCAATTTGTATTACCATGCATTCAGCTGGGGTTGACATATAGAGTGTGTGGATTGTCACGCAATAAAAAATAAAATCAAAAACTATTCAGTGGATAAATTCGAGAAATTGTGATATTATAGACGATAAATAAAGAATACAGTTCTCCAAATTTAAGCTGTGCGCGTTGTCCCAAAGTTGAGATATTCTTCGAAATGTTCCGCGCAAAATTATAGAGCATTCCTCCAATATGGCGACCGGGAAATAGCGTAAACATCTGGAACTTACTTTGGCCATCTAGACAACATTATCTGAACCGAACTAAAAAACATTTACACAAGCACTTTTCCTAATACTTAAGCTCCTAAAATGGCTAAAAATCACAAGATAAGTGTATATTTTTCGACGAACGCGATCTTAGCTTTATGTCACGCACCGCCATAACTCCGAAATTCAAAATGCGCTGGTTTCCAAACGA